AGCGTTATGATTTTGTCTGAATTTTAGTTTTAATTTTTTAATTCATTATGTGTATGACACGACTAATCTTATCTGTTATAAAAAAAATTCTTTTACTGTATTTATCACTGCTGCTTATTATTTATTCACATTGAATTGAATTAAATAAACATTAAGTAATAGTGTTCTACTAAATAGTTTGAATTGAAAAATTCTCATAGAAAGAAGAATTGCAAGTTTGCATGTAACAGACACTTACTAACACGCACACAATCGTAAAAGTCGACCGTGGTATACAAGTGCCGCTATAAAAATGCATAAAACTTGCGGAGATAGCGAAACATTTATAACTCCCAAAAATCAGAAATTGTCTTTTTTTATTTTCCAAACTACGTTATCATATCGAGTTATTTACTTATCGTTGTATAATCAATTAATTATGCAGATCGTGTTTTTTAATAAAAGCCTTTATGTAGTTTCACATGTCCGATGTTTGTCTTTCTGTAATCAAATCTTGCAAGTTAAATTTTATCCACTTCGCAGTCCCCGTTTGAGCTGAAATTTTTAATTATCATATATTTATCGGATAATTATAAAAAAAAATGGCGTGTCTCCTACAAGTGAAAAATAACAGGTTTCTTTAATATATTCAGAAAATATGAACCATTTTAATTTATAAATACTTAAAATAATAAATTTATTGACGCTAATTTGGATATAATATGCTTTGAAATCTTGATTTCTAGTTAAGTCATGCTTTGTTCTAGGTTAATGAAATAGGCAATAGACAAGATAAAACATAAGTTCCATGGATAGTGTAACAGAATCGACCCCTAATTATGTGCAGTAGAATAGTTAAATTCGCACGCAAACAGACAGCTGTTTACTTTGCACCCTCGCCCCTGTTCGTAACAAATGTTTATCTTGCATAATTAGCCCTTTCACATTTCCATATTAACTAATATACCGCATATATCCTAGATATCATTTTATACTGGCAATTCCTAATATTTTATTTTATTCGGAAAACAAAAAGGTGATAGTCAATCTATTACACACCGCCGAGTATCACGACATACCTACCGATTTCATGTTTTTAATTTTTAAAAATGGGTATTGAATTGTTTTATGTTCTAAAATTTATTAGTTCGTTTCTAAATCCATCACTAGATGTATTTAAAAAAAACGGGAAAAACAAACACAAATATTACATTTCAAAAACTGCAGCTTCTTAGGTTTTAGGGCTAGTAATTTCAGAGCATCTGAAACTGATGAGGTCTGAATTTCAGCATTTTACCCGACTGCAAAGGAAGGGTTATGTTTTTCGCGCGTACCTTGTATGTATGTAATATGTAATATTCTTTACCTCATATCTTCAGAATCGCTGAACGGATTTAGAGAATTGAAGTATCGTTAGATTTGTCTTAGTAGCTCAAATATTCTTAGATAGGTAACGTTAAAAAAATCAAATGGTGCGACTGTGCGACGCCATTGTAATTAATTATATTTTTTTTGTTTAAATACTACAATATGGGTATCAAATTAAAGGGGTTCCAAATGTTCCTCAGTGCAAGGTATTCAAGGATTCCAAAAAGTAATGTCATAGTTATCATTACCGGAATACATAAATAAATAATACAATCATAAAGTTTAAAAATATAAACTTTATTCTTTCCAACCTGGTAATTTGTCTAACTATAAAAAGGCAACAAAATTATACTTAACTAAAATGAATCAAAAACCCATCTGCGTAAAAAATAACTAACTCAAAAGGTTTGGAACAAAAGATAAAAAATTTATGCATCAATCATAAATAATATGCAGCCGGAGGCATGAAATTGAATAATAAGTCAAATCATTATCTATTTGTGCATACCTCAGACTGCATGTTATGTATGATGTTGCATATTTTTTTATCTTGTTCCAGCCTTTTTTCAGTTAGTTATTTTTCACGCAGGCGACCTTTAAGTTTTTTAAATTTACTGTAACATTACTCATTAATTCATACGACTTATCAAAATAGGAAGCTTACTACATTTTAGCAGTTATACGATTTTATATTATTATCAATGTCTTTATATTAAATCTTTGAAAAACACTAAAAGTTTACTGTTTAAAACCAGTTTGTATTCCTTGTTGGCACAAACAAATTCATTATGAATTCAACTCATACGATCCGATAGAAACGATGCCGCTTTTCACGTGCGCTGAATCAATAGTCTTTTTCTTATTAATACCATGAAAGGGAAATTTTGTGTATGAAACACATACACTACACAATCAATATTACCGTCTATGCTATTTTAGCCTACGATTGTACATAATTCAACTACCATTTAAACTACTTCGTTTCTATTAATTTATACGTATCTTTAAACTATGAAATATATAGTTTAGAGTAGACTCTCGAGAATCGATCGGTGCATTTTTATTTTTGTAATGTCTCACAAAAACGGGAATTATGTGAATATCTACCAAGGCAAATTCGCAAATTCTATGAACAATTATGGAATATACTATTATTTGTATTTAGCAGCATCATATTAGCGCTTTTGCGACAATTTATGGTATTATTGTAAGCCAGATAGCTAATTAGAAGATTATTTTCAAGTAGTTTCAAAATGTGATCATTGGTTAAGGTATTTATTTTAGACTACCTTTTCGCCCGCGGCTTCGCCCGCTTGTTCTCTAGAAAACTGTTTATTGGGATGGTAACCTGTATGTTGATCTAGGCTGGAAATTATTCGTAAAAAGAAAAATAAACGTATTAAATTTAAAAAAAAATGCAAAAAAGCGTTTGACAGCTAAATATATTCTACCTTCTTTTGAATACTCGCTAGTCGAAGATTGAAAGGAACCGGACTTGTATCCTGTTGGCTTTACTTCCTCCACTTCCCGCGCGTCCATATGCTGAATTATTCAATACTGACAGATCCGAGGAGCGGTGTGTATGAACAACGGCAGTTAAAAGAAATGTCTGAACTAACTGAAGACTATGGAAATTATTTTTGTACCTACTACTTTTTAATCCTTTTGATTGTAAGAAGTTAAAGCTTGTATTGTGAGAATGACATGAACGACATTATCACACACAATTTTTCAGACGCGTGATATTGTTGTATAATCGTATATTTTCACTGTCTTAATTCATCTCCAAACCTAAACTGAACTTATCAAAAATGTTGCAATATGTTTTACTTAATCGGTAACATGCCATGTTTTTTGTTCTAAAATCTAAACCATAATGCACAATTATATTTTGACATCAGTTCAAAATTATATGCAAATTCTATTGTAATATTTTTTATTACAATGAATGAGATTCAGCAAACTCTTCAATAAAAATAAGCTATTCACGCTAATTCTTTACCTAAATCTATTGTCTCGGTCTACTATTGTTTGTCAAGCAAAGTCTGTTGTAGTAGGTTCAATACCTCCCTATAACGAAACTAGGTTGTTCTAATAATCTAACTTATTAGCATAAGCTGCAATTAATTACTTCAATTTTTTGCGTGATGTTAGTGCTAAATGTAATAATATTAAAGCATAATTTCACCAAATGACAATATGCCCGACTGTTGATTGTGCGGTGTGAATATATCCTTTTGTGTAATGAATGATCGACGTATGAATCGTCGTCGACGACGACGACCGTGATGTGTACGTGCGATGTGTCGTAGGTACGCGTCAATCATTCGAATATTGGATAGTGTATGAACGGCTCATACAATGTTAATTTTATGAGTTGTACAAAGCTCGTGTACAAGATTTTGTGGGTTAATCCAAATGACGAGATAATATTTAAAGGAAAACCAATATTGTGTCCTTCGTAAACATATTGTTCCTAGAGATGACCATGCAAATTAAATTTGATGTTCATTATTATAATTGAAACTGCCTCATTGTAATGTATCGAAATAAAGATAAAGATACTATCAACACTGAATTGATGAAATCGGTACTCGTCATTATGTTAAAGCTTTCTTTTTATCATATTTAATTTCATATAGATCTTAGTTGGCGTGTGAATTGACTTGAACTTTACTGTTGGATAGTAGGAATACATTCATCGGGTATTTCTTATTTAATAATAATTTACAGGACTCCCTCGTGTAAACTACGTACGTCCTAAAATATATTACAGTGTGGATCGACCTTAATTATTTATAACTCCAGTCACGTTAACCGTGAGAAATTGCATTGCGGTGCTTGTGAAAGTTACAGCTGTATCCTCAAATTATATTTGCCTGATTTAAAAACATAATATAGGATATTAGTTATATTATTAAATTTCATTTTGTACATTATATACAGTATATATCGTATCAACCATTATCACAAATAAATGTTTTTTAAATGGAGTTACATGAACAAAAGTTATTGAACCTATTTTAATATTCTTTTGTTTAATCATGTCTAAAAAATTGTAGATTTAAGTTACTTAACAACTAGCTATTGATTTCCTGCTAGTTACATGTCTAGAACTTTGTTTTATTTAATTTAAAAACAAATGTTTATAGACCATATTTATCTTTGATTAATTAAATTCAGGACGTACGCCTATATGTAAATAAGAAATTGTATATTCAGTTTGGTTAGTCTGTGGTTACGAACTCCTACGACACCCCCATACGTTTGCAGGTCATGTAGTCTAACCATTTGAGAGTAAACCAACCCACACTATGTCCGATAAATTCGATTGTCTTGTGTTTGAAAATTCACATGACATTATTGGTTACAATAACTTTTGTATACTACACAAAATCTGCCTAAATGTCTTTCTTACAATAAAGAAATATTCGTCCTAGATTTTTGTATGTCAATTATCCAGGATGTAGTCGGATAGTGTGAAGGAGTGAAGTGAATGTATCATGCTTACAAGACCGAAATGCTTGATATAGTTACAACAATCACTTTATTTTTAAACGATTATTCGTAATGCAAGTGTTTAAGCGTTAATGTTAAATTAATTTCTTCCAAAAGTGCAGAGTCATTAATAAATATTTACTTATTTGTTACAGTACTCCTCAGTGAAACTATATTACCGGACGACACTCTCGAAAATAAGACTCTTAAAATCACAGACTTTGGATTAGCTCGAGAAGTTTACAAGACGACTAGAATGTCAGCGGCAGGCACGTACGCTTGGATGCCACCTGAGGTAATCATTCAAATAAGTTTTAGCTTCAGAAGAACATAATAACACAGCTTTAGAATAGAATGGCAATCATCCGCCAAGCTTCATCGATAGCCAATGTCTTCCCACTTTCGATGACTACCACCGTTGCATGAAATAGTAAATTTACGTATACGTTGTCATTGTGCGAATCATGTGGTTATAGTGCTCAATACATTACCAAACATAGGGATTGCGTATTAATGTAGTAGACGATTTGATGGTAGGTATATGTCGGTATTGTCGAGGTCAGCAGATGTGGTAGCAGCTACCTCTGCATTGCACGACCTCGCCTCTCTGGGAGAGGCTCTCGATGTACCCGAGCCTCTCCTTCCGTGAGGGGGACTAAAGATCCCGATAGGGGGTGAGCGTCCCGGCGACTCGGTCACGGCATCCCGGGTCTAATCCCCAGGGGAGGGTACACCGTAGGGCTTTTTGTGGGTAGGCCTTTGGGAGCCCACCGCGCGGCTAGCCACGGGGTGGACTCACGTAGGAGAGTCCCACACACCCCCTGTCGCTTGCCGGGTGGCAGGTGTAGTGCCTAATGCATTTCCTCGACGTTAAAAAAAAAGGTATATGTCGGTATTAGCAGTCATTTGTGCATATTTTTGTTACGCGATATAGCACCGACTCTATCGCATAACTGAAGCCTTGATTGATCTGTCAAAATGAAACTTTATTCGTTTGACATTTGAAAGCAGGCATACGAAATTACTAAGAGTTATGCGGTAGAGTTGAACCGCGGGTCTTTCTAACTTCTTTTTATATTCTGTAATAGTTACTACAACAGTCATCTGTATCAAACGACCATGTCGAAGGAGGTGGAACAAACGAATTCTAGAATTCTTTGCATGAAAACATATAAATCTCTACACAATCACTATGTACCTAATCGTCAGAATTGTTATGTCATTTGCGAGGTGTACAGATTATTCGTTTCGTCGGCCTCCGCTTTGATCGACCTTATGGGTATGGTAACTAATGAGCCTAAAATTATTAAGAGTGTAGACCAATCACTAAAAGATTTGATATAGTAAATGCTAACAATTATGTACAAATCAAATTCAATTAACGTTAATAGTAAAAGTTGCATATTTATTTTCAGATTATCGTTTATTGTTATAAATTTATCATATATTATTTACAGTATAATAGCGATGTAATTATTACTGTCTAATTTTGGCACTTCTTTAAATATTATATTTTATCACCTAACGGATATAGTTGCGCTAATCGCTTAATGTTTTTAGGATACCCAAAGATAAAGTCTGACGTTTTTATCAGCACGAGTTATAGAATTTGAAATTAGTCATAACAAATAGATTAGTGTAAAAATGGTAACAATTACAGCTGTATTATGACTGTTAGAATTAGCTCTGTATTATTATAATTGATTACCAACAATTTCTGGGACTGACGGACTGCAGGAATACATATCATACATCATATTGATATCGTATAATTCATCCTCATGATTACTTAGTTGCTAATAAGTTTTGTAGTTCATGGTCGTTGAAGAGTGGGCACAGATTTCGTTCGATTCGGAAATGAATCGCAATCCATATTCATTTGCCTTGTGCTGTCTCGGTTTGTGGGACGAAATCTTTTAATATGACAATTTCAGACGTGTATTGAACTAATGCATAATTATAATGCAATGATTGCAATAAATCAATGCCTAAATCTTAGAATTAACTTATGATTGACTTAGTCAAAGTCAAAATAATCTTTATTCAAATAGACTTCTTTAAAGTACTTTTGAGTCGTCCAACATTTTTTTTTCCTACCATTCATTGAGGAAGTCTTATGGCTGATAAGAAAAATGAGCAAGAAACTCACCAGCTTTTAATAGGAGTAATGTCATGTCATGTCACAAACACCATGTCATTACCAGATCAATACATTATAAATGGAGTTTAAAAATAAAAACAAATGAGTATAGACCGACACATGTTAAACAAGCTTCAATAATCGTGTTTTTTTTATATAGATATAATAAATTATCCGAAATGTAAGAATCAACAACGCTGAAAACTGAAGAACAAACAGAACTTTCAATACGGATGTAGCCAGTAAACGAAAATAATTTAATTTTTTTGGTAGTGTTTAATATACTATTACCTTATTATTTCCTTTTCCGATTTGCTTATTATATTTATAATATTGCTTAAATTAATTATGAAAAAACAAATATTTTATGCTCGTTGTCACGTGACCGCAAACAGCGCGTGACGTAACGCCCTTCTTACTCATATCAGAACTTTAAGAATTCAACCTTATGCATACATAGAACGATATTCGTTTCAGAGTGCCGTGACGTCATAGCGACGCTATAACAGAAGTGGCGTTTTCGTGGGAAATTTTGAAAATTGTTATATGAATTATGTTTTTAGATGTATATTTCATGTATAAAATTAAAATATAAAACGTTGTCTCCACCTCTATGACAGTCAAAGTAATGGTTTAATCTAAACTGTTTCAAATAATAAAATAATATGTATCCTGTTTGAACAATAATTTCAAATTGTATTGTCATTTCAATTTTACAGTTTGAAGATGAAATACTTTGCTGGTTTCTGATAGGTCTTATTTTTATCGATTACTTTTGTCAATGTGTAACGAGAAAATAACAACTAACACAATTGCATGTATTGCAGGTTATAAAGAACTCAACCTTTTCCCATGCATCTGACGTCTGGTCCTACGGGGTGCTGCTATGGGAATTACTGACCGGTGAGACGCCCTACAAGGGCATCGACGCATTAGCCGTGGCGTACGGCGTCGCTGTCAACAAACTAACCTTGCCCATACCGAGCACCTGCCCTGAACCTTGGAGAGTACTAATGGAAGGTAAACCTATGAAGCCATACTATAATAATATCGTAAGTGTGGCAGTGACTTTATTTGTTTCTCCTTATTTACTATATTAATAACATTTCGCCAGCGTGATTTTTCGCTTTTAAAACATTTTCCATTGCTGCTCCACTACTATTGGTCATAGCTATGTTATGCAGCCTTTAACCTAACTCAATAAAATGAACTATTCAACCCACAAAATATTTTTCAATTCGAACCAGTAAATAGTTCCTGAGATTAGCGTATTTAAACATAAGATTGAAATGGAGAAACAAAAGTGTATCTGGCTTTTAGAGGAAAGTAACCCGAAGCATCATAGAATACATTTATCCTGATAAAAGTCTGGAGGGTGTGGAAGCCTGCACAAAGGAAATCACAGATGTAATAAGTAGTTCACCTTGTTTTCATGCACCCAGACACTAACTACATCCAAAGGCGTGCAATATATAGCTGTAGCTCTCTCTATCTTCTCTCCATTTCTATTCTCTTCTATATTGAGTATGTACGTACTACGGCGAGTTGTTTCCGCAAGTAAGAAGGAAACAAAATAATCTTTATTTGAAAGCATATTAGAAATAAATTTAATAAGCTTTGTTCGGTGCGCGTATTTGCATTTTTGCATACCTATGATTAACATCAGGGTGCCTAAACTAGGTCATTGGACGTGCTATACTGTCATCAAATAATTTACATATAACAATGTATGTTTCTCCGTTCATACAATGGATACACTCGTTTATGAACATTTGATAAATCGATAGTATTATAGTTTCTGTGAACGAACCTCCTACCGTTTTACAAGTAATTATTTTATTTGATTTATTTTTAAACTTACAAATAGAATGGGCGCATGGCGCTTATTGGCTCTTGGTAACGTAATTCGCTATAGAGTACTGCCTATTTTTTTACTTGAAGAAAAAGTATGATACCAGTTTTTCTCTTACTACTACCGTCCAACAAAAAACTCATAGTCCACAGATGCTACTACGGCATCTAGTAATATGTAGGCACTGCAGGGGCTTGTAATTCTCCTAAAACGAGTGAGCTAATAAAATGTAAATGTAAGCCGGTCAACATTTTAGAGCTAATCGACCGGCGCATCATTATCATTAATATATCTGTTATCATTCTATATTCTGTTTATTTATTACTAGCTGTTTTCTTGCGACTTCGCCCATGTAAATTATAGTCTATGTCATCCGCATGTAGCTTCCTGTGGGTGAAGGATTTTTTAAAATTGGTCCAGTAGTTTAGAGCCTATTCAATGCAAACAAATAAACAATCAAATCTTTCCTCTTTGGTAGTAATAGTAATACCTATTTCATTTTAACAAAGATACATAATAAGTTTATCGGCGATTGTTATCTCGCCAAGTTTCGTTTTGTACCTTTCCAAGAGTTACTATATTGTGTCCCGAAAGAATAAAACTTAACTCGTCGGCACCAAATCGGACAGTTATAATTATATTGAGTACCAAATATTAATTGAAGGATAGCACTGTCAATCAATTCAGTACTAAACCATTTCACAATATGAACTTGTAAGCAATAACATATGTGGGCGCTAACCAAGGTAAATATAATAGGTTCGAATGTGCTCCGGTAGGTGGCCGCGACTTAAACAATTGCTTAAATTATAATCAGTAAATCGCTGAGCAACAATGGACATGTAACATATTAATTGATACGAATAGCAGCTCAAGCTTTCTAATTTTAAAAATAATCAACATGATATATTTCTAATCATAATGTTACAAAAGAGGTTTAAATCTGTGATCTAAGTGAATTAATAATTGGACCTGTAAGGAGTATGAAACATAATATTTTCAGTAAGTCAATATTTTTAAAAAGGTTATTAATCTATTTTTTTTTTTATTTTTGTATCGCTAGCGTGCTGGCGGTCGAACCCACGCGAAAGGCCACTTTTCCCCGAAATTCTGGAACAATTAGAGCGCATCAGGCAGTCAGAATTCACTCGAGCACCCCACGAGTCTTTCCATACCATGCAAGACGGCTGGCGACTGGAGATCGAAGAAGTGTTGAGAGATCTCAGACGGAAAGAGAAGGTATGAAAGTTTACTTTCTATTTCAACTATTTAAACACACTATTTCAACTATTTAAACACACTAATTCAACTTATTTCAAGCAGTACGATGTTTGCTTCGATTGTAAATATTATTATAAAATTCCAATAGGTTAATTTTAAAATTATGTTTAAAACGAAAGTATTTGTAACCTACGTAACGATAATATCCAGAAGCTTTGAACCTTGTTTGGGTTGACCTACATATAACAGCACGGTATCTGCCTCTTTCTTTCGCCGTATCCTTTCTGTCGCTCAAAACCGCCTTTTGCTAAAGCGGGTAAATCGAGTTTTGTCTCTCGCCTCGATTCTCCAGCGTGCTATCGAATGCCCTCTGTCTTTATGTAAGTCAACCCAAACAAGGTTCAAAGCTTGGGCAACAAAAACCCTTAACCCTAAGGCTCTCTACATAAAGCTAGCTTGATAACAGTGTTATGCTTATTAAAGTTTATTCTTATGATTAACCTTTTTTAACTCATAACATTTCGTCATAGAGCTTATTTTAACATTCCACTGTACTAATGAGGAAATTTATTTTCCATGATAATGCTTGCTAATAGGAATGCAAAACTATAGAAGAGGTTAGTGACTTTAATGTTGTTAGTTTTGTTTCCTTGTTGTTATTATAATTTCCTAGATGTAATTTTATTTATTTTGCATACAAAATAATAATTTGCATATTCTTTCAATGAAAATCTTTATGTATGGTGTTTTATTTATGCCTACTGATAAAGTCTGTTTAGACCATATAATTCATCTGGGCTTTATGCAGCACTTTGCGACTTTAAAATATGGTTTCATATAAGACACATATTTCAATTTATCTGTTAAGGTTTTATTATAGTCTGATATTGTTAGTAGACTTTATCTAAGTAACATTATAATGTCAACCCAAAGAAATATTGTTTTGTCTTAATTCCCGTGGTAGCACTATTAAGACTAATAGATTAATAAGTAGGGAGAAAAATTTCTTTACATGACAACTTTAATGAAAAAACTATTTTTTTTTTTCATAATTCATATAAATATCCATTTTTAGGTAGCTAACATTGCAATCATATTTGTTTAAATAAAATACATCCTGGTTCCAATGTAAACATTCGATATGTTCTTTTCAAATGTTTACAGGAGCTCCGGTGTCGCGAGGAAGAGTTGACGAGAGCTCAACTGCAGCAAAGGTTGATGGAACAGAATCTTGCGCAAAAGGAACGTGAATTGGAGATGAGGGAGATAGATTTAGCCGCTAGAGAGCTCCACATATTGATCTTCGCCAGTAACATGTCGCATAATCAACCGCCTCAGCCTAATAAGAGGAAAGGTTTGTATTGTATGTTGTTGTACTTTGGACAAGAAATAACAGAAAACTAATTTATCATTAATATTTCAATTGTGCTATGATCTCCAGTACATATCATAATGAAACAGAGCGCCCGACCATCATCTGCCCTTGTTATCATGGGTGTAACCAGCATGTGGGGCAAAAGTAAAAAAAAAACTCAATATATAATTAAGCAATATTATAATTAAGCGGCCATGACAGAGCATCGTGTTACGTCACATTTGATTAAACTAAACGTTAACATCTTTGTTGCGAGGGCAACCCGTATTCATGTTTATTAAATGTGACGTCACGACTCGAAATCTCACGTGACTGGTGGTTTTTGGAGAACAATTAAAATAAATAAATAAAAATATGTTTCTCCTTTATTTATAAACACTAAAGAAGAATTAGTGGTTTAATATGATCATATGTAAATTTTAAAATTCTTTTCTCTAAGCAGTCAACTAATTAAAAATTTAGCTTCAAGATATGGTTAAGGGTGAGATAAGTGCCCCACCGTAGTACCACCCATACTTGTTCTTATGCGAAGCTTGTTTTGCAGGTAAATTCAGCAAAATGAAACTGGTGAAGAAGGATACGATATCATCACCGCTCGACTTTCGGCACACGTTGACAGTGCGACCGTCGGAAGACGAGTCCAGTGTTAAGCAGTTGGTCGCCGTCGCTAAAGACACGCCGCCAGGATCGCCGGCCATCATGAGGGCAATAGCTCGTGAGTGGATGTAGTAGAAACAAATTAGGAAATATGTTATATAAATCTAGTTCAACTAAACATTAAGGGTGCTCGGAACGTCAGAACTTATTCGACTTTCGACCTTATATACTCGACGGAAATATTAACGCATACTTTCGTGAGAGGCTTGACGGATTTAATGGCAGTTTTGCACAAACGAGTACAAATACAAAAGTCACGGTAATGATAATTTACAGTGGCAATATATGGTGTTACTAGAGTTTAAAATTTATGTCCAGTCCATTATGCATTAATGCAACCGGACATCTAACCTAGTTACTCATTGAAGCCATCATACGAATCAGTCAGCTAAGGAAGACTTAGTTTTATTAAAATAATGTCTAATATATAATAGGACGTATTACTGCAACTTTGTGTTGCCATATTGGAGCACTAGTACATTTCGTATTTTTTTTTTACAAATTTCATACGTCATTCACAGAGAGCAAAGAGTAAAGCGATAGCCACCAAAGTTAGGCATTAAATATAGGAAGGTGAAAAACTTAACTAACAATCTAATAATAACAAAGAGTCTTAATTTATCCAATTATAATTGTGATTAATTTTATACATTGCTGCATATTCGGATGTAAGAAGCAAGGGAATCATTTCCAAAACACATAATGTCTGAATTTGTTTACTACATGTGTTTATTTGCGTAATATTCCCTATTTAGAAGTGACATTTATAGTTATGTATAACCATTTATTTATTATGTATGCCAGTGCGCATTTATTTTACTATTAATATCGTATATTGATTAGTTACAATGCATACGCATGTCTCGGCAACCGGTTGTCGAAAAAAAAAATTGTTTTATTTCTGGCATTGTAGTGGAGAGTGACTACTAGTCATTTTTCAATAACACTATTCTCTGTTAAATAAAACGGGAGAACATTGCTGAGTTTCTTGCCGGTTTTGCACAGTGAGTACTAAGTCTCCCGCCATAGTTTTAGACGTTCACGTGTGCTCGTAACGGCTTACACTGAATTAATGCCATCGAATTTGGTGTCAGTGCCAGCGGACGGCGTGAAGGGCAAGACGTGGGGCCCGTCGAGCGTCCACCAGCGGTCGCGCGGCCACCTGCCGCTGCCGGCGCTAGCGCGCGCCCGCCACTCGCCGCGGTTCTCAACGTCCGCGCCCGACCTGCCCCCCGCCACGCGGCCCCAGCACGCAGGTAAACCCCCCGCGCCCCTCCCCCACCGCCCGCGCAAGTCCAAGTCCCAGGTGCGCGCCCCCACCGAATTAGCGCGCAAACGCACCGGCAGCCACGACGATATATACGAGAACACCGAGCCCCGCCGCAACAGGTTCCTCCTGTGTCCGATGTTCACGTCCACCGCGGACATACAACGGTACGACACTGTGTTCGACGCGCCCTCGCCGAGGAAGGACGTCAAAAAGACTTTGCTCAAGAGCTTCCGCTCGAACAGTCTCACCGGCCTGTTGGCCGTCGCGGGCAACCTCGGCTCGGAAACTACCGAACTCCTCCGAGACGACTAGTTAATGATACGAAACGCGACCTCCTTCGAACCGATAACTTTTTTTTTTAAATTAGATAAACGAAACCGAACGCCGACGACAGTTCATTGAACTATGTACAAAAGTGTTGCCATATTTTTTTTTAATACATATCATTTTACTAACATTCCTCCTGAAGTGTAGACACTTTTGTTTTTATCCTATTTAGTATTTTCCGACTGGATAAATTACTTTTGACCCTTTTTAAACAATCTGATTGCAATTTGATACCTATACGGTACCTATGTTAATTTATTTAATAACTTCTCTAAAGCTCTGATATTCCCAATTAGCATTTATTGTAAGTTTAAATATGTGAAGTTCCGAGGATTTCATAAATTAAGTTAGCGTGTAAGGGAATAGAAAACAAAAATATACATAAAAAGACTTACTTTTAGATTTATCTCTTAGAAGTAGTGATAGTACCTACCAGTGTCTTGATTCCTTTATTCTATGTAGTTAGTACGAAGAGTAGTAGCGGAATTTCAATTTTTCATTTGGTTTTAGTGATATTTTAGAGCAATAAGGTCGTATTTTCTCGTGGTGAGTTCGTTGTACAGATGTAAATTTTACGACAATATTTGCTAACGAAAAATGAATTATAGGAATTGATTTTTGCATTCATTATTGCGTTTTCTTATATTTTAAAATGCCACATAATTTAAATTAAAAATATTCACAGTGGGTACCGAAAGAAAATGGTGTTATAAAATAATATAACATCCAAACATATTTCTTTCTGACATCCAAAAAGCATTTTATGGTTTAAGTTTTGACTAGGTATATGATCAAGGTAATTTAGTAAATTCACTAGTAATTTTAATTTATAAAGACTTAATTATATATCGACTGAAGAATTATTAGGATCTTGCCAAATTGTATTAAAAAAACAACAAATTTAAGGCGACCTACAATTCGACTTGTAAAAACTCGGCTAAATAAAAAAAAAACAATGTCAGAAAAAGTAGAAAATGCAGCTGATATTTTTACATTTCGATTTCTTAGTTGCCAAACCATAGAGGTTTTAGCAAATTGTGTAGAACGATTTGTTACAAACAATTTATTGTAATCTAATATTAATAGAAACAATAATTTCACGCTGCTCTAAAGGAACCTCTCAGGATAGTCTTCTATATCCTTGTAAGTATAATAATTTGTTTACAAAATAAACACGCTACTGATGGTCGGTATTTTGAATTAGTTGAGTTGATTCCATTCATTTCTTTTAGATTGCACATACATATTTATTTTATTTTTATCAAAAATGTTGCCAGTGAAAAAAATATTTTTTCTGCTATTAGTGATGCAACGCATACAAATGTTCGTATTCGCCGAATATCATCATCGCGTACACCAAAAATTATCTATTAAAAAACTTTTTTATTCTAAGACTGGGTTGATTTTGCTTAAGATGATAAACATAAAACACATCCCGGTATGACTGTGCATTGTGTAAATAAATGAAAACGCATTTACGCGCTATATTACATACAATTCAATTTAAACAAATTAATTCATCTAATCGTAATTATTCGCGGTTGTCTTTTTAACATTTCGGCTACAAATACTATGTTTTTTAAGGAATATGTTATCGTGGTAAAAAAGGCTAGTATGACATATTCATTATCATGTTGAATTATTCGTGTTCGGTAAAGTAGTATTCGTTACATCACTAGTTGCCATGTTCTAAAAACGTTTCGTTCCTCTCTATACTAGAGCGTGTTTATATTATGTGTGTCACAAAATGTTTGTCCTAATTTAAATGTATTTCTTATACATTAAGGCAAGCATCATTGAAATATATTTTTTGAAGTAAGACTTAGTTTTTATTTGTAGTACGTAATTATGGAATTGATTGTAAAAATGAATGTTGAATATGTGTGATACTCAAAAAAATGTGCGTTTGTTTAAAGTAGTTGATTTTTGTAGTTTGTGTCTTTTTTTGCGGTAATTTGATTATATTTTTATTTTTGACACATATTTGTAATGTAAATTGTAAGCATTTGTTTGCTTTCAGCCAGAGTTTTTTTTTTATTATTACCTTATTGAAAATAAGTGCTATGCATGCTTAGCAGTTCATAGTTTATGCTATATACGATACGATGTTATATATGTATTTTTGTACTTACTTATTTGTTAGTTTGTATATGATCTTTGCTTTGTTTTTCACTCGTCACATGGCACGCTTTCAAATGTTTACAATGATGTTCTTTCTAATATCAGATGTGTATGTGGAAGTCTATGTGATACATGCGCTTATGACTCATTTGCAATGGTCGATTGGACCTGTACGGAGTGCGGTTTCTTTGGCTCATTGGTCATTAATTAATGAAATGAGCTCAACATGTCACCTGCACTCCACATGCGGGCTCTATCGATCAATGTAAATGAACTATTACATAGTTATTGTGTCATTTGAGTTTTATAAAGTTGAATTTATCTCTCTAGCAATGAATAAACGAAGTACCTATAACACAGTCACATAGGCTTTCAAAGCTAGACTGTAATAAACTATATACTTTATAATAGACGAGATCCGCTGTAACATTTGGCAATAACAATGTTCCTCGTACAATGGTGGTGGAATAGTTATACAAACTATAATAAAAGAGGCTCAGATGTCAAAAGTATGTGATCTTTGGAGCGTCAATTGGCTCTGCTTTTCGATTTGTAAAAAATACGAAATACTATAGATGCTCTTTGGTGATCTGGTTCTTTTATATACGTAGATCCTTTTTTATATATATATCAAATAAACCTTTTCCATAAAATCAAAGCTGGTGTATTTTTTTAACATGGGTTTTACTAATCTAATAGTTACTAATATACCCTAAAAAATGTAGGAAAAGTTACAGGAACAATTACGGATAATAACAAAACGAGCCGGAATAATCAATGAAATAAATCGATACTTAAAATACGATACAATCGATGAGTTGGTGAAGGGTGAATATACAAAAAATAAACATTAAAATATCGCTTTTGCTTCATCTCTCTGGCGACCTTTAATAGGGAAAGGAGAAATACGGGAATAAAACAATAACAAAATTTTATATTAACAAAATGAGAAAGAATAACAAATTGAATAAAGTTGTAAGTGCTGCCATCTGAAGTTACGATATGCACATGTAAGTATGTTAGATTCTGGTTATACACTTTTCATTTCGCTTTCTTTATTTTTCGTTTACGAATGAACTGTTTGGCATGTGTAGACTTGCACATTAATTGCATGTAGAAAAGAAACGAATGGGACCATTTTCGATATATTATTTCAAAATTCTTATTCTGTCTACAGTTTGTGATAATTATATGCTATTTAGTTATACTTTTGTGTCGTTTTAACTATCTTCATTGCAACAGTTATTTATTATAAGCATTTTCATATGCCTATTATGTTATAAGGTTGTAACTTTGATACAAAGATCATTGTATGAAAATATACAATTTGAAATCTCTTAGTATTTTTTTAAAGCTTTTCAGCGCTATTTTATCTCAAATAGCTAAAAATGGTACAGTTTTGATGTAGTTAGTCAATTTCAAATGACAAAACATTATCTATTTTGAGCTTAATCAATATTAAATAAGGTTTAAAATTAATTTGAAAATTCTATATAAAATTCTGGATTCAATTAAAGGTTCTTCTATCAAAAATACAACCTTGATGTTATCATCGCACGCACTCCATATTCACACTAACGCGCCTATGTTTCCATTCACATAGGTTGTTTTCTTCCTTACACAGACTTCAGTCCGGAGGAATGGGGTCCGGAATATCCGTTGAGCACATCGTCCAGATATACAATACCGATGCCCACTTTATATAGCACTGAAGGTACGTATTACATTGCTGTATGGTTATTGTATCTATAAGATTAAAAAAAACTCCGCTCCTGTCTATCTCTTGCTCTTGCCTAGACAGGAGTGGAGAATTTTTGAGGTCTAACCCGAGGATAGTTTTGAGAGAACGTTTATAATAAGAATCGTTAATTTTGTTGCAAAAATTAAACTAGATTTGGATTTCATCCTGTCAAACTGTGTTTTCAATTGGCTACTTGACTTTAACAACTGTTATTATAAATTATGTTGGAAATGGTTTCTTATATGAAAAAAAAATTGTATTATTTTTAAATAAATTGTAAGTATATTTTGTTTATGAAATATTAACTTGCTATTTATAATATGTGAATTACAAGAACTGAAACTTGGGCGACTATGATGGAGTATCGTGTGATGTCATATTTCTTTGCTGAGACTTCAACAAATAATCTTGTTTGTTGAAATGTGACAACACGGCTTGAAAAGTCACGTGATTGGACAATTTAAATGAATGAATACAAATATGTTTTGCCTATATTTAATATCACTTTTTGGAGAAAAATTAATCTGATAGTAGTTTAATATGATCGTCATGCATTGAAGTAGAATGTTCTGGAATTTCTTTGAATTCTACAAAAAAATTCGGTAGCCATAGTATAGTTAAGAACATATTATGCTCAACCTGGCCCTTGATCTTTCATGTCACATAATATATATTTTTTATTCATAATATATAACACTTATACAGCCAGTTGCACAAACGTCCATTAAAATTGTCATCATTATTAAATTTGACGTTCATTAAACCTTAATGGACGTTTGTGCAATGTACAGATAGTGTTTTGAACATTGTTTTAATTTCATTAATTTATCGCATTACAGGTTATAAATATAAAAAGCCGAGTATAATAGAGTTGGTGTTATACAATATGGCGGCATTATTGGGTGGTGTAGCGGCGGGATATGACGTGAGAGTGTCCAACGTCACTCCTCTACATCCGACATTACAACCTCACAGGTAAATATACATATCATGGGTTCACAGACAAAATGTATTGAGCGACATCTTCGGAATTTAACAGGATAGCGGTTTAATTAAAAATTTTAATTGGTGTTTTTAAAAGGCATGTTTAAATTATTATTTAATTTTCGTCTATTTTTAAGATAGTACAAAATTTGCCTAATTGTTCTGTACTCAAATGAAAGTGATTTTAGCCTTAAATGATCCTATAGAGATTTTTGTGGGGACTTTTAACATGAACTAATATAAAAGGGATAAAAATGTTTTTTTTTTTTGTTATTAAGCATTTCTTTGCTGAATACAAAGCAATTTTTCAATACGCTGTTTCCAAATTCTGTGAATCTAGTTCAGAATATCTTATAAAATATAATCGTCATGGCTTAGTTACACTGTTCGATGAGATCTGCAGGTGTCATCGACCAGTGTAAAAGTATTAACGACCAAATTATCGACCGATAAGAATGAGTTCGTCGTCATTCCGAGGAGAAGAAACGCGTGTTAATGAATTTGGTGTTATTTAACTTTCAGACCAGAAATTGAATCGGAGCCTCTCAGTTCGACGTTGTATGAAGGATACGGTTTCGCACATAACACTTATCATGGACCTACAAGACATTTGCGGGCTCCACTCAACGCTATCACTGGATCACCCGTAAGTGTGTATTGGTTATAAGACTATAAGGGACTTCGAGCAGCTCGGTAGCCCGCGATCGTTGTTGTTAAGCAACTTTAGCCAAAGGTCGGTCACGGGATGGGTGACCCAAAAAATTATCTCAATCTACTCCGCGCTACGGAAGGCACGTTAAGCTGTTGGTCCTGGCTGTATTTGTAGTCGTGAATACCCTCCAATCTGATTGGGCAAGCGTGGAGTCATGGCCTGTCCTCCTTAACCATCCATAAGGAAGGTTTGAGCCCCTGCAGTGGGGACGTAAAAGGCTTAATAATGAGGCTACTATTCGTACGAATTAACATGACACCTGACGGTCAATTTTTTTCTCCAAAAACGACATTTCGGCTATTTTCGAAATGCTAATAAAACTGCAAATAAATGTATTTTTCGATAATTTATGATGCAACATGTATGACCTGACACTACCTTTGATGCACAGATAATCTTTGAGCATAAGATTTTAACAAAATTGTAAGAATGATTCGAATTTTTGTAATGATTTTTCTAGGCCATATTTTTCTAATGAAATTATTTAAATGTATGAAATATTTTAATCTCGGACAGCTTATGCTCAGATTCGTAAGGATTTTGTTATATAGCTCGCGAAACGAATTGATAATTTTTGCAAAACCCGATTAATAATAACTGATATTTTATGAAACCGTTCGTAAGCCCTGCCCGTTAGAATGTTTCAATTCGCGCGCTCGATCCCAGTCGAGTATGATTGAGACGGAAACCTAGTGGGCTGTATTTTACACCTTATGGCTATTGAAACAAGACTGATATTAGTTGGATTCTATTGTTTCTACACTTTTTATTGCATATTGTTTTGGCAATGTGTATTAGTAGATGATAAGCAGTACCAAAGAATTGTTTGCTAATTTGTTGAAAATTTTCAAAAATTATTACTAACGACTCTATAATACTTGATTTTCCTCTCATCAGCTCTTTATACCTATTTGCAATTGCAATAGGGAATATGCACATTTTTTTTTAATGATTTCATGTGATAGTTTACTTCGTTATATAACTAAAAAAATACCCGGCACCGAAAAACTTAAATTTAATTACAATATATTGATGAAAATAAGTAACTTGTGACGTCAAAGAACACGACTAGAGATATGACATTTTAAATCAATATGGATTTTGTTTGATTGATTATTATTCAATTACTCAAATCGATTAACAAATAACTAATAATAAACTTTTTTAATAATAATATGACAAGTTTTGAATATTTTAAAGTTACCGCATTTTTTTGCACTTTTTCATACAAATTATATTCAAGACGAAAACGAGACTTTATAAGAAAGCAATAACGATCGTAATAAAATATACTAACCCATTTTTGAAATAGACGCCCAAGCAATGTAAATATCACTAGTACTTATGCTGTAAACTAAAAAAAGTTTTATATTCAGCTTGAAGAATATCATAATATTTTACAGATACCGAGTCTTCAGACAGAAGAGCAAAAGCCGATCCGTTTCACCGATTCACCTACACACTACGCTCATCCATCATCCTCGTCAGGTTACGGCCATTCAGTTCAGCCATTATCCGGAACATCCGGCTTAGGGACCAACTATACATCCACACAACCACCCACCCCATCTCCTAGGCGTACTTCATCATCCACATCAGACCATCTTGCTGACTTATATCACAACTATAGGGAAAACTTCCAACCGTCACCGTCCCAAGACCGGGATTATTATTACCGTGGTGAACCGTACTCGTATGACAGAACAGCAGAGTATGTTGTGAAACATCCCTATTACGGCTACGATGAGTGCTCGTTCGAATACAGGGAAACCACATCAGAATCTGTATTTAGACCGTCTACCACTCAGTACCTCACGCATAGGAGAACTCCCTCGAACTCATCGGCGTCAAACTCACATCCTGAAGAGTTCTCTCCTTCGAGACAGTACAGAACGGAGAAGTATCCTAAAGAGAAGCGAGACGATTTCCGTGCAGCAAAAGCGGAATACCCCCGGAAGACCAGTGACTATTCGCTTCCTAGAGATTTTTACCGTCAAGAGTCTCAAGACAGAGCAGATGTGGAGCGGCCAGCTAATCTGAGCTTGGAGTTGGCGCCGACAAAGTTGAGATCCAGTTTGAAGAAATACAATAAAAAGTGTAGCGCTTCTGGGGGCAGTTCAGGGGGGGGCACGCCTACTAATCCCACGCCCCCCGACAGTTTGACGAGTGAGACAGATAGTTCTTACGTGTCGGCGCGAGACGCGTCAAGCGGTTCACAGTCCAGGGTCAGATTCAGTCCGGAGACTATGGAAGGCATGCTCCCGGAACGTAGACCGTCTCGTCACTCGTAGCGAAGGCTAACAAAGTTCGACGACTACCTTGTTTGATTCCAAAAGCGGAACTGTATATATTTAAACGCTTGCGGGTAGTACGTGGAACGCTTCCAGCTTTAGTCTTAATTTTATGGGTTACATATATTTTTTAAAATAAACACGAGTGAGATTCCGGAATTTAAACGTGCATTTGACATTGAGTCGTTTCTAGTAGTTCTATTAGCATGTTTCACTGTTGACTGTTATAATATATCATCGTGAGTTAAGGATAGTTGTGGCACTCGATTTATCATGTTGTGTCCATTTTATGACCATATCTCCGTTAGCCGGCGGAAGAACTGCAATAAGCTATGTATAAATGCAATTATTGTGTTCATTATTTAAAATAATTGTGTAGTCTCATTGTACATTATGTATATTATGTCGATGTGTGTGACTTGACGGTCAGGAGTTGCATTATATTATGTGCTTGTCAATGGACAATACAGTGCCTGTATGTAACTCTTAAGGATATATTTACTTTTTAATTTATTTTAATGTAATATAATTGTTATTATTCAACCGATTTTTTCACTATTACGTCTCATAAAAGATTAATAGATCACGAAACTAGTAGAATTTGAACACAATAAAGTAAAACAGGCACAGAATGCTTAATGTCATGTACAATATGTAAATACTTCAAACAATTACGAAAGCTTATATTTTATATTATACTCAGCATTTATTTTTGTTAAAACAATTGAAATTAATATTTGTTTTTATTTTGTTGAATTATAAATAGTACAAAGGTATTTTTAAGAATGTTTTATGAACAATTGTGTTCGATATAAAATTATTTTTAACTTTGACATAAATATATCGTGTATATTTAAACTAACAGTTGAATATATTATATATATCGAGTAAATTAATGTGCTGTATGAATTTTGTACAAAAAAAAATCAAATGTTAGATATTTTTTACTAAAATATCAATAATTAGATTTAGAAAGGAGCAGCTTTTGTATCCCACGGTGAATTAAGGTGGCGTTAAAGTCTACCTACTAGTCTGAAATGTGCAAAACAAAAAGGAAACTCATATCCAGTTATTGATATTATATTCGATATTTCACTCTCATACTCAAAAACACTGGATTAATTTTTAACCAATAATGTTTCATAGATTATTTAATTTATAACGGCCTATGTAATCATGGGTTAATATTAAAAATTATCTCACGTCTAGCTTAAATATTTAACTTAAGAAACTATATCGGAAATTTTAAAATATAAAAATTAGCTTTGATATTATGTAGCTGAAAACCAGTGCCTAATGTTTGCTGGAGTGGTATATGAGATTACGACACGAAAAGTGGTTTTGGAAGTTTATTGATTATTTATATTTTGTTTTTGAGGCCAGTACGATATATATATTGTTTGTAATTACTTTTCCAGAATTTTTCTTTGTGCAATATATGGAATTATTTGCGTCCAATAAAATTTTGTTTTGTTTATTATATTTATGAGAGCCGTCGTGAATTAACAGTATTTCTCACAGTATTCGAGATTCACTAATGCTAAAATATCGTAAATTGTACTTTATACGAAAAAAAAATGTAATATTGTATGTATGTGTAGTTTATAATTTGTTAAGTTAACTTGAGTCAGTGCCAATATCCAGTGTTTTATAAATATGAATGTTAGTTACTCTCAACTTCGATCCCAAGCTTCTTGTTTTAGTACAAACCAAATCGCAACCAAATTATTATAAGAATCTCTAAATAAGTTTCAAAACCTGAGTCACAAATCGTTTCTCGAGTCAATAAATTGTAACAATATTGTATATACGCATCGAGATTCACGGCGCGATTACTTAAAAAAAAACTCTAGTCTTGAAATTTTTATTTAATTTATAAAAACCTGGCTAGTATTCGAATGGTTACGAACGACTGGCGAACGTACTTCGATTGTTCTTTGAAATTATCCAAACGATACCATTTGGGCATTCCATTATTAATTATTATGTGAAACCTACATTCCATTTTGTTTATTGTACGAAGTGATTTTATGCTCATAATTATAAACGTTCATAGGTCGGATGTAAATGGTGGTTTTGTGTGCCAATAACACGAGGTGGGAGGATGCCTTACATCTGTATGTTAAATCGACAAATAAAATTTAGAATAAGCTTTTTACTTTGTCTTTTTATTTCAACTGAATAGTTCATACCTAACCCGAATACATCGCCCGATCGATCGAATATATCGATGCACATATAAAGGTGTAGTGTAGTTACTACTCCAAATCTACGAAGTTTTCCAACCGGTGCATAAACTTCATAATGCGCCATGTTTCTCCAGTACGAGTATATTTCTTTTCTTTTATTTCATATTGAGACTTAAAAGTGTCCTTTTATTTATGAATTAAAACTTTTGAAGACTTTTTTTTTTAAGCGGTATTATATAATGACGATTTTGCCCATTGATACTGGCGTCCCCCTAAATTCGAAAAACAATAATAGATGTAGACAGTATGTTGTCAAGGTTCACATCCGGCGGGTCCGATAAACTGCAATCGGCCAACCCAGGCAAGATAAAAAAAAATATTACGTATCAAATGAAACAATAGAACGTTGAAATGACATGTACATTTAAGAATGATATGTCTCGTATACATTGGTCAATAACATCCACGTGCGTTTCGATTTCGGTGGCTCATTTTCATTGGTTTCAGTGTTTTGGTTATTTATCAAATATGTATTAGGTATATGGCAATCAGTAGGATAAATCACTGATTTGTAATTAACACAAATGTCAAACGTTTGTATTTTAAGTTTCAATTTTAGTTCAGTTGACGAAGATAGGTGGCGCTATGCAAAAATCAATATAAAAACATATGCGCTCAATACCAATTCAATAATTTTCGTAGAGTATAGAATCCGATATGGTTACGCTAGAAAGTACAAAGAATAATGTACAAATGTCTGAATGAATCAAATAAACAAAATAATATAGGTCTTAGGCGAAAAGCCGAAAGGACAAGAAAACAACAGAAATTCTATAAAAAAAACAATATTTATTTTCCAATTTAGAAGACAAATGTAAAATATTTATCAGTGCATTATAATGTTTTTAAACAAAGTAACGTGCTCTCACTTAAAATATTTACACACATACATACGTGGAATTTAAAATATACAAAATCGCTCAATAGAGCTCGAATTACACAATACTTAATAATTAATTTGTTACTGACATTAGAAGGAAAATCAAGCAATAGTATATAATTATTATGGATTTTCATACTATCTCAGAGGCTGAAGTTACTTTATTGAGTACGTACTGTATACATAATATAGACGTATATTTAAAGTAACGAATAGTAATATCATAGGAAGATATTACTATTTGTAAATAAATACTGGTTTTCTAAAGAAAACATAAGGTGTAATATTATTATGTGCCAGGACTTCGTGGAGTGAATGAGTTAAGCATACCTACTGACCAACTTTTACTATGGGAGCATCCTTGAATTCACGAAAAAATAATCAGCTGTTCCATACAAAATTGTAATACCTCCAATCGCCAACAGTATGAAACAGCTGATGATTTTTTCGTGAATTCAGTGTTGCTCACAAGTTCCCAAGTAAAAGTTGATTAGTCTATAACTCATTCATCTCACGAAGTCCTGGCATATAACAATATTACACCTAATACCTATATACGTTTTTTAAATAATGTAAGATGACTGTTTAATTTGAGATCAAATTTTGCAATAACTGCTCAGTTCTTTTTCAATGTTCGAATAAATGGCTAGAAACAGTACATAACGTCTTAAACGCAAAATGCATCATCATTGGTGGTATAATAAAAAAATAACTTTTCCCTCATCTAACAGAAAAAGAACGCAAATACAAAAGAAATAATTATGGCTATTATAAATAAGAACCAGTTGCAAGTGAACAATTTTAAAAAGCAAAAGATTTTTTTGCGTTAAAATATCTCTTAGTTGAAAATAGGTACAAATCATAGACACCCAAAAACTAACTTATAAATAAGCAAATAAGGATACATTATTTATTCATTTACCTTTTCATAATAATATGAGATTTTTTTTATATATAATTTTGCGTCTTTGTTCTGTCAGATAATGTTTCATTCAGTCAACAGTACGTCAGGTTATACAAGTCAGTCTAATTTGTTCACTTGATTTAAACGTTAATGAATTAAGAGTAGAGTATTGCGATAATATGACATATCGTGGTAGCACAACGCGCTGTTATATTTTCGCCAACTGATTTTAATACTTTTTTCATCCATTTCCAAAATATATCTAGGAAGGAAAAAGATCCCGCAATTTCCTTGGAGAACAGGTTTCGAAGGCATGGCAAAAATGTACCTAAACATTATTAAATAAGATTATTTAATTTCCAAAAAAAATACTCATTTTCATATTTTACCTACATAAAATAGGTAATAAAAAATTTAGAGATTTTAAGTAATACAAAATACAATGGTATGTAAAGTAACCCCCAATAAAACAAGCGAATTGTAAATGATGGTAAAAAAAAAATAATAAAAATAAAAAACATGAAATACCAACTTAAAATTACAATTTGTCCTTATCATTACAATGAACCTTAATTTATCAGTTGATTTTTCCACCCTGTTCCTTTAAATGGTTCTAAACCCAAATCTTATTTCTATTCCTTGCAGCTAGACAAATATATCACATTCATTTTTAATTACTTTAGCTCAGTGCTTATAGCTTCCTTTATAATCAAATCTTGTCTTCGTCGGTGTAAAAGATCATATCTTTAATTAATACAAGTTGAGGAATGACTAATTTACGATTTATTACGTCAGAGTTTGTGATCTTCAACATATCTACTGATAACTTACATCTATTTTATATATAATACATAATAGATTTAATATTTTACTCGTATTAATGGTTCATAAAATATTATAAAAATAACTTCACATTTTTGAAGATAGTATACATAAAACCATAAAACAAAGGAAGCATAAAATGCTT